TATATATTTCCCTATAGAAAATGGTACCAAAACCTGTTTATTCACTTTGATTTCACCTACTTTGTTGAGCCATTGTAATGAATAGAGCGTAGGATGTTCCCTTACGGTTAATCTCAATTTCGTAACTAGCTCGATACTAGCAACATTTGCACAACTCCCTCCGTCAATTATCACCTTACACACCTTGCCATGAATATGGCATCGAGTATGAAAAATGTTTTCTCTTTGTTCTTCATCGGTTCTTGCTTGCAAATTAAGTAATCTCCTTACCATTAATGTTTCTCCTTCCACTAGATGCTCAATAACGTTATCATCTTCACTTATCGCAGCATTCTCCCCTCTCAAATCATCTTGTTCATTGCCATGTTCAGAGTCTGTTTCTATTTCCCCAGTTGGACGCATTATCATGGCCTTATTGTTTGGACATTCTCTTGCAATGTGTCCCCTTCCCATGCATTTGAAGCATTTAATTCCACTTGGTCTGCTTGTAGAAGCTTTCGTCTTCCCTTTGTCATTACCCTCCTCGACTTCCTTTCCTTTATTAGTTTCAACTCTAGGCTTGCGTTCACTTTTTTCCTCATTTTCCTCTTTGCCTACTTTCCAGTTAGAAGTATGTGCACGTCTTTTTTTCCTTTTGAGCTTCTTTTCAATTTGTATTGCCTTTTGTACTAGCTCCTCATAATCAACAAAATCATACATCTCAATCTAGTCCTGAATATCCCAATTTAATCCCTTGATGAACCTGGATATCGTTGTTTCAGGATCTTCCTCAAGCCCTATTTTGGTCATAATCTTTTCAGTTTCATGATCATATTCAGCCACCGTCATTCTACATTGGATAAGATCTTGTAGTTGTTGGTGTGATTCTTGGTGGAACCAATTGTGCACGAACTTTTTCCTCATTACTATCTTCATCTCCCTCCAAGTTTCGATCGATCTGTCCCCACTTCTTCTTCTGCTGAGAACTACCTTATCCCACCATAATATCGCATAGTCGGTGAATTCTAGAGCTGCTAAGTTTACTTTCTTCCTCTTAGAGTAATTATGACAAGCAAACACTCTCTACTTTCTTCTCCCATTCTAGGTAAGCATCAGGGTCACTCTTTCCCGAAAACGATGGCATAGACATCTTAACATTTCCCAATTCATCATCTAACCTCCTCCTATCTCTATACTCCCTTCTATATTCTCTGTCCCTCATTCTTCTCCTTCTATCATTTTCTTCTTCCCCATCTTGCTCACTCTCACTTTCCTCAACCCTTTCTTCTTCATCCTCACACCTTCTCACATTACCTCTCCCATTTTGATTTTGTCGTTGAACTTCCTTAATTCTCTCAATTCGTTCACTCAACCCCTCAATCACATTACTAAACTTAGAGAATTGTCCTTTCATGGCTCTCATCATGAGGCGCATGTCAAGACTCAACTCTTGCTCATCTATCTCACTTGGACCCGACATAATGTACCCTGCACGGTTGCACAAAAATAAAATAGGACCTCACGTCACTCCCTCACTCACGTTTTTTAATGGGGTGGTCACTCGTTCTTTTACCACTCGTGTATTAAAAAAAAAACACTCTAATAATCTAACCAAATTATACCCTCTTATTAGAAAACAAAGTTCTCTCGTCCGAGTCCTAATCGAGTTCTAACAACTAAGATCAAGAATTTCCAACCGAGTGACTAGGTGAGTATATTCTGGGTTTTATTTGGTAATAATTTGTTCACAATTTTTTTTTTTGTTTTTGTTTGTTTTTGTTTGTTTTTTTTGTTTTTTTTTTTTTTTTTTTTTTTTTTTTTGCTATGGGGTTATATCACCAGGTAATTGGGTAGGTAATACAATTTGGGTAAGTTCAAAGGAGATAATAATTCTAGATAAACAAATAATCCAAGTAACACGAAACAAAAAATTGCTCTTGCCGTACTTTTTTTTTGTTGCTATTCTATTCTTCTCCTTTTTTTTTTTTTTTTTTTTTGTCCTTTCAGGAAATAACAGTAGACAAAACACTAGCTTTACACATTGAATAAAAGTTCATAGTACACATGCTAAAGTGCTAAAGTTTGTTTAGATTTCAGCAAGTTTGTAGCAATGCATGTAGTTCATAAAAACAACCAATTCTAGATGTCTCAAGGTGAAATGAAGATCTTACGTGTACCAATTGGATAACTTGGCTTTGATACCAAAATGTTGCTAACCAGCAGTCCGGAGTGAAGCTACGAGCTGCCGAGGAAACTTCGGATCAGTCCAGTTGGTGTCTGCGTAGTTACGGTAGTTTCAACGAAAGAAACAGGCGGTTGACAGGTTGGTTTGTTGCATGTTTAGGGAGTGTTGGTTTGGAAATAAGGTGTTCTTGTTTTTGGATTTTGGTGTATGCCGATTTGCCACGTTCGGCTGTAGAACGATAAAAACCGGGGATGATGCCACAAGGCTGGTATTTTCCTTGATAAGTCGAAGAACTTACATAGAACCCAGTGAGAGAAAACTTGAGTTATGAGGCGCAAGACTTTGATTTATAATCTTATACATTGTCTGCCTTCAAAGCAAAATAAAGAGGCTATTTATACTAATATGATAGCCTTATTTTCAGCCAACTAAAGAGAAGAAATAAGTAAAAACTAGGCTAAAGATTAGCTACTATCTCAAGAGACTAGGGAGCAATTTGTTAAACTAGAAAAATTGAATTTTGAATTCAATTTTTATTTGTAAGTATCATTCTCATTATTTGGCCAGCTTCTTTGAAACTCAATCCTGGACCGCAACCAAATTGACATATGTTGCTTCACTTCCCTCCCTAAGTTCCCATAGCTCGGTCTTCTTGTTGTTTAACTTATTTATGAGACCATTTAAAGCTTCTTGCAACCTCTTTCCCCTTACCCGTGAGATAGGATCGTCCATGACTCGCAACGGGTCTTGCATATCATTAGTTTGTCCTCCGTTGTCTTCAACAGAATCTCTTGAATTCCTTCGGTGAACCTGTTTTAGGTATATTAATATTATATTGTAAAAATGAACATGTGGTATTACATGAATGAGCCTATTTTAGTATTGTAAAATTGAACCATTAATATTGTGAAAAGAATTAATTTCTCTTTTGGTCCCACGATTTTTGATGTTCTATCATTTTTGGTGCACAACTTTTAAAATTTTTAATTTTGGTGTCTACCTTTGTTATTTTTATCAGTTTTGGTCCTTTCCGCCAAATTGATAGCAAAATGTTACCAGATTTTATATTTTTAGGGGTAAAATCGTCATCCCAAGGAAACATCTTCAATATCTAAACAAAATAATTGTAAAATCATATCTATAAGTGTATTTGATCAATGAGAATAATAGGGAAGACAGTCAGAAACTAAACATAGATCTATGGAATTTATAGCGTCAACGATTGACAAACTCTTCTTTTTCTCTTAATATGATTTTCTTTTGTTTAGATATTAAAGATCTTTTCTTGGGATGACGATTTTGCCACTAATTTCACTGTCAATTTGGCCGGAAAGACCAAAAGTGATAAAAATAACAAAATTAGGCACCAAATTGAAAAAATTTAAAGTTGTGCACCAAAAGTGATAAGACATCAAAAGTCATGAGACCAAAAGTGAAATTAATTCTTGTGAAGATGAACTTGTAGGTTTCCATTGATAGACTTATTTAAGATTTATCATTATAAGGTAGTTACAACCAACATGGTTGGCGTGGTGGTTCAGCACCTTGTCCCTTAAGCATGAGGTTGGGGATTTGATCCCCACCCATGTGGATGGAGCAAACCATTTGGCTAGTCCCCTACCACTTAGTGTGCTGATCGTAGGGACGGGGGATTAGTCTTTTGGCTATTGGCTGGAGGAATACCTTTGGCCACCAAAAAAATTATAAGGTAGTTACACTGCACCTCAGAAAATGAACTTGTTTTTGCTTAATAAACCTATTTGATGTCTATCAATAAAATGATGTATTTGCATTAGTATTTTGAAAATAAATATGTATTATATTTTAAAGGAAACTACAGTAGTGGCTTAACGTAATTGTATATTAATTTAAAACATTGAAAAAAATCTAAAATCTAAAATTATAATATGTGTCAATCCAAATTATATCCTTAATTTTTGTCCATTTTTGTTTGTTAATAAAGATGTACAATTTACTTTAAATGTTGTATATTTCATTTTATTTGACAAAATTATCCTTATTACATTTTTGTTTGCCAAAACTACACTTACATTGTTATAACTCTATTATCATTTAATAACTTCATCACTATTACCATACATCTACTTTTGCATGTCTTTTTCCTATTCTTTGATGATCATTTTATTAAAATTATCAAATAATAATTAATTTAATTGTAGATTATATTTTAATTAAATATTAATGTTAAATCATGTGTATATAATACATACGTTATTTATGTATATACACCACTTGTTAGCTTAGTATTATAGATTAATTTTTAATTTTTTTTATAAATATAAATTTTACGAAAATTGTGTACATTAATATTAAACAAAAAATATAAATTCTTTCTCTTTTTTTTTTTTTTTATATATTATTCAAATTCAAATATGATAATTAAAATTTATCAATTGAAGGAATTGTGAAATATAATTTGAACTAATTTTTTTTTATTTTTGTTTAACAATATTTTAATATTGAACATGAATTTTTACACATTGCGCATACAAAATACTAGCTAGTATCAATATAAGTATCATATAAAAATCTTAGTTATAATTTTCTTAATGATACATTTTTTTATACGTTAATATTATTTGTACAAAAAAAAATAAGTTTAAAAAAATTAATTTTGTTTCACTTGCAAAATGGACCATGATCTGGGATTTAACTAATGATATAACAATCGATATTAAACCTTCACTATATAATAATTTCCCTTTCCACTCTGTCATCCATACTATACTATGTACATGCCTTTGATTTTCATGTTCAAATCTTGCGTCCAATTATTTATTTTCTCAAGCATCTATTCCTACATCTTTCATAGAAATTTGCTACAAACCATCAGGTGAATTCTAACCATCAATATCATTCATACAAATTCTTGTTTAAACCAAACAGAAATGAGAATGACAATTCATTCATAACATTACAAATGATGAGAGATCATGAGAGTAGCCAGGTGCACATGAATCTCATATTTTGATGCAAAATGCGTACAAACATCTAGACTGTAGCATAGTTTGTGTTTAGTCTCCATCTTAACCTTCTGTTTGGAATGGATAACAGTGATGCCATCAGACCACAAGGTACCTGGCCTCCATCTTTCACTCATGGAGACCTATGCTTGTGCTTTCTGGTCTACAATGTTAAAGGAAAGCATACAATCATATAGGGTCGAGTCAGGACAACTAACCCTTTTCAAGCTCTCATAGTACTTCTCGGTTGCATCAGCTTCTCTGTTTTCCTCAAAATATTTAAGAAAACCCTCGACTGTTTCATTTGGAAGAACCCACTTCTTTTTCGACTTAGCTGCCTGGCTTGCACCCATCTCCAAATACTTGAGAGCCAAATCGAATTGAGAATTTTTTACGTAGAAGCTAGTGAGTAGCTCCAGTGTCCTCAAACCGGGTTGAGCACCTCTTTTCAGAACACTGTTATACAGCAACTCAGCTTCCCCAATCATGTCTCGCCTTAGGTATGAGTCCAGAAGCACATTAGAGATCCTCATATCATACAACTTATTCTCTGATTCCCACTCACGAAAATATTTTTCAAGGTTCTCGAAATCCCCCAATTTGGAGAGAGCCAAGAGCATGATGAGATAGCTTTTATTACTTGGTTTCGGGAATGCTGACTTTAAAGATTCCCACACCCGATAAACGCCTGACGGATTAGAAATCTGGCCATACAATGTAATTAGGGTACGGAGTTCCTCTCGACCATTTTTCATTTCCTCCATCTTTTCAAGCACAGACTGGGCCTTGTCAAGAAGCCCTGCTTTGAATAAAATGGTTGCTAGATTTCCATAAGTGAAAGAGTCGGTTTTTATATTATCAGCTTTCATCTTCTCAAGGACACCCTCAGCTGCATCTATATCCTTCAGCATGCCATAGCTGTTTATCAACTGATTGCAAGTATATGAATCTCGATCAATTTTATTTTCTTCCATTTCTTGCACGAGTGCAACAACTTTCTCGGGCTGACCAGTCTGTAAATAAAGAGATATCATATTGTTATAATTTAGAGTAGATATAGCATTCACTTCCTTCATCTTCTCGAAAAGTTCAGAAGCCTTTTCCAAATGTTTCTTCGCACAGTAGCAGTTTAGAAGTGCACCATACGTTCTAGTAGTTTTCTCAGAATCTTGCAGGCCGTTGAAGTACTCTTCTGCAGAATCCAAGTTCTTGGACTTGGCAAGAAGCTCTATCCGTACAGCACGGTCAGCATTATTTATAAGGGATGTTTTGCTCTCCATCCATTCAGACAGCTGGATTTCGAGAGTTTAGCAAATGGAAACAATTCAAATCAGACAAAATGAGAGAGCTCCTAAAGCGGTATAAAAAATAAGCAGGAAAACCGATTCAACAATGATGCAAAACACAAGAAGCATGGTGCATAGAAACTCTCAAAGAACAACATTATCATTAGTTAGACAGAAATGGCAAATATGATCATCATTTGTAAAAAGGATGGTTTGGATTATATAATGTTCACTTCTCCAATTCCTCTACGATGATCTTTATACAGCCTATAGCTGTGGCAATTGTTATACCATGGACGAGGTCCACCTTGCATTGTGAATCCCGGTCCAAAACAACCTTCATTTAATATTTGCCTCATTTAATAAATTATGTACCACAATTGATATGAATTTATTTATAGGTGCATAATATGTTAGGCAAATTATCGACTTATCGTGTGAACCATACCAAAAAATACATTTTTAATATACAGGCAAATTATTGTTTGAACCATAACAAAAAGTACATTACAAATAATATACTTTCAGTACTAAAATAATGTACTTTCTCCGAATACCATATACATTTTTAATATACTAAAAGTACATTATTTGTGTACTGAATGTACATTGTTTGATAATATGGTCCACACAATTCGCAAATAATTTGAATATCATTTAGGACCTCGTCTCACCATGGTCCAAGGTATAATTTGCCAGGGCTGTGGCTCATACATAATCGTAATTCGGGGGTAGGCCTAATCTCTCTCTGATAATGAAAAATCCAGAGATTCATACAAATTTTCTATTAGATAAACAGAAAACGGGTAGGCGATAAAGAGAAGGAAAGTAGAGACCTGGAGAGCCGCTTGGTAGTTCTTGTCGCGGCGAAATTGGTTGATTGGTGTAATGATACGCCATTTCTTGATGGGAATACCATTGTTGACGGCTTTATCGAGAGCCTCAACGATGTTGCCTTTGTTCTTAGCTGCGGTTGTGATATTCGCAATTCCATGTCCGCCCACAGTCCCTTCTTCATTTGGAGTAGAAATTGTCGCCGCAGCGGATTCCGCCGGCAACGCCTTCGCTTCTGCCGAAAGCCAACGGCGAGCGGCTGTTGTTCGGAGGAGGTAGGCACTGCTGGATCTGCTCGCCACTTGGCCCATTTCGCTCTTTGGTTCGTTGTGGCAATGGAGCAGAGTTTCAGATACTGGAGGTTTTAGTTAGGGTTTTAGAGGGCAGTATTTTACACCATTATAAGCCTCTGTCAAATTGTAATTGAGATAAATAAATAAAGGCAAGATACTCAAATATGTCATCCAATTTGACGCGGTTGAGGCTTCATTTGACAAGCTTACCTAAAACTAATTTGAAAATATGAAAAATGTTTTTCACAAAATGATTTTCAAAAAATTCTTCATTTTTCAAAAAATATATATTATAAGAGTGTTTGATTAGTGGCTGATAAGCTAAAAAAAAAAAATTTACTGATTTGACTCAGTTTAGTTGTTTGATTGATAAATAAGTTGATTTGGAGTGTTTGTTAAATGACTTATTGGTCAATCAGCCAAAATATAAAAAGCTGCTTACACTAGCGTTTTTATCAACTTGTTGCAAATTATTTGTAAAATAACTTTTCTATCCATGTAAATCCCTAATTTGAATTCACCTTCACCTCTGTCATTTGCATTCGCCTCTCTTCTCACCTTGCGAATGCCTCTACTAAGTGCTCAACTTTGTGACTGCTTTCTCCGATCCACGGTCTCACACCGATCGCTACTGTTCTCGTTAGTCCTCACTGTTTCTCTCATGCTTTCTCCTGTCACATATTTTCATGTAAAATTTACTTTGCACTTTCTGACGTTTGATGTTCACCTTAGTTGAACTGACATCTCTATCTCTGCATTGAAACCATTAGAATCTGTTGTGTTGGCTATTCTTAATTCTCGTGACTAAAGCATTCTGCTGGTTTTTGGGCTAACAGTTATTATTGACATCTAATATTTTTCATTGATATTATTATAGTAGATGTTTCTAAAAGCCATTGATTGTGGAAGCCATGGCAGTTCGGGAAGCCTTTACGTGGATCAAGAGGCGGAGTTTTTCTAACATTCTGCATGCTGGAATAAGACAGTTGGTTTTTTGTTCAAAGCTTATGAATAGCTCTTTATCATTCCTATGTTAGGGTAATTGCATATGCCTGTAAACTTGTTATTAGTTCTATTAAACTTTGTGAGATCTATTATATTCGTAGAGATAGTAACCATGTTGCTCATTCGCTTGCCAAAGCGATTGGGGTGTAATCATCACATTCAGAGTGGTTAGATGTATCTCCACTTTGGTTGAAAATTTTACATGACTAATATATCTGAGTTGGTTATTTTTAAAAAAAAAAAAAAAAAATCTAAACTTTTTAAAAAAAAAATTAATTAACAGAAAAAAAAATCTAAACTTTTTTAGAAAAGCTTTTTTTTTTTTTTTTAAAAGAAAGAAAAGGAATTAACATGTTTGAGTTACCTTGTAAATATAATAATTAAATTATTTAAAAAGTTATTTCAAACATTTGATTCGTTTAAAATTGTATATGAAAATTTTAAAAATTTATAATATGGTCTTACCACGTATAAACATAAACTTGCAAACTAGGGTATATGCATATATACGATCAGTGTTGAAAAAGACGCTAAGAGGCCCCTAGGCGTCCGATTTTTTATTTTTATTTTTATTTTTTTAGGAGGTTATTCGCAAAAAATAAATAAATAAATAAATAAATAAAATTAGGGTTCGACCGCCTAGACTGCCTAGGTGCCTGGCCGCGGAGGAGGCCGATTTCAGCATTCCTCGACGCGGTCGGGTGTTGCCTAGAGCATAGGCTTGATTTTTACAACCATGGATACGACACAATGCTACACCATCCAATAATTAATTATGAGTAAATTTCAATTTTAATAATTGATAATTGTGACATTTCCACATTTAGGGTGTGTTTGGTTCGCACATAGGAATCAGAATCGGAATGGGTATCAAATACTTGGTAATGGGTTTTGGTGAAAGTATTTAACATGTTTGGTAGTAGGGTGGAGTGAGAATTGTTACTAACAGTAGTGCTTGAGAATGAATAAGGGAATGAAACCTTATTTTAGAGTAAATACCCAAAATGGTTCCTCGACTATAGCTAAATTCACAAATTGGTCCTCGACTTTTAATTTCAACCAATTAAGTCCTTAACTTTGTAATTTTGACACGATTTGGTCCTCCATCAATTTGACCTTTTGTTGATCGTGATTCTCGTGTCCAACAAGAAGCACGATTCGGGTCGGGCCCATTACCGGCTCATGCACGTGGTCCCCATGCACAAGGACACCGACGACAAAGCCTACCGCTACGTTTACGAGCAAGAAGATCCGCAAGGGAAAGTCGGAATCAACCTCTCAAAAGACCGCCGGCGAAGCCCTCAAATCCAACATAACCATAATCGGCTCGCTCGTTCTCCCAGTGTTGGAGCAACTCCTCTTCCTCTTCACCCTAATCGGCCGAAAAATCTTCAATCCCATATGGAAACCCTACATTCCCAACTTCAAACAGGCCTTCGAACACTTCTACATCAACGCCGGCGGCCGTGCCGTCATCGACGATCTCCAGAAGAACCTGCAGCTCTCGTCGGAGCACGTGGGGGCCTCTAGGATGATGTTGCACCGATTCGGAAACACGTTGTCTTTTTCGCTCTGGTATGAACTCAACGTCTCAACTACATTGAATCCAATGGGAGGATGAAGAAAGGCGATCGAATTTGGTAGATTGCTTTCGACAGTGGATTCAAATTAATAGTGCGGTTTGGAAATGCATTCGGGACCTTAAAAACCGACGATGGACCATGAAATTACAAATATATCCTCAAAAATTACAGTCAACAAACGGTCAAATAGACAGAAGACTAAATTTTGTTAAAATTGCAAAGTTAAGGACTTAATTGGTTGAAATTGAAAGTCGATGATCAATTTGTGAATTTAGCTATAGTTGAGGGACCATTTTGGGCATTTACTCCTTATTTTATTTGGGTATGAGTTGTTCAATTGATGGGGCATTCGAAACTCATAGTAGTGTTCTAAAAACCTATCAACCAAACAACAACAATCACTTTCATATCCATTCCTATGGGCAAAACCCACCAACCAAACACACCCTTAATTTAGTCATCCTCTTTTAATTTTGCTTCATTATATCATATTGTCGTTCATTTGTTTGTTTCAATTAGTCATTTATTTAAATTTCTATCATTATATTTTACTGCTTAATTAATAAAAAGGGTTAACATGTAATTTCATTATTTAATTAATTAAGGGAAAATTGCATCTTTAGTCCCTGAGTTATACCCAAGTTCTGACTTAGTCCCTGAGTTATGACCGTATCCATTTTTAGCCCCTCAGTTATGAACGAAGCCACATTTGGTCCTCGACCGTTAAAACTGGCGGAAAAATTAAAAATATTTAAAATTTGAGAGATAAAGTAGGAAATTCACATTTTATTCTCATTCTTATATCAAAACCACTTTTACAACATTACTTTTCACTTCTTATCCTTTTATTTCAAGATTGTTCAATTCTAAAAACATTTCAATAACTTTAGTATGACTCGTTAGGAACTTGGCTCTCATATAACAAACTTAAGACTTAGCACAAACAAATAAATACTTGATCATTATCTTCAGACGTGTGAAACACACTATCCTATCAATTTTCAATTTTCTTTACCAAGCAACAAAGGTAATCAAACCAGAACTTTTAAGATACAAAATGATGTTGAATTTCTCATGTTACTTTTATGATAATTTCACCAACGGAATAACTTGAGATTTTTAGTATGTAAAAAAATTTCATATACAGTAGTTTAGTCAATAATCGTTTTTAGAAGTTACAAAAGTTTTTAAAATTTTCATAACTAAGTCTTAGGTTCCTCATTCATTACACTTGTTTTTAAGAAGACAAAGGAGGTGATATATATATATATATAATTTTCATATATTGTCAGGATATACGATTCTTGATTAAGTTACTGCAGAGCTTAAGAAAGAATTTTACGTACTAAAAATCTCAAGTTACTCCCTTGGTGAATTTGTCATACAAATAATCTGAGAAAGTTGATATCTTCTTGTATTTCAAAAGTTATGATTTGATTACCATTATGTTTAGTAAGGGAAATCAGAAACTTTTCGGATGGTGTGTTTTACATGCTTGAAGACAATGATCAAGTATTCTCTTGTTTGTACTAAGTCACAGTTTCCTTATACGAGGCTCAGGTTACTAACAAGTCATACAAAGATTATTGAATTGCTTTTGGAATTGAAGAACCTTGAAATAGAGTGCTAGGTGGTTGAAAATAATGTTGCAAAAGTGGTTTCAATATAAGAAAGGGAATAAAATGTGAATTTCCTACTTTAACCCTAAAATTTTAAATATTTTTAATTTTTCTGTCAGTTTTAACGGTCGCAGACCAAATGCGCCACTTCGCTCATAACTGAGGGACTAAAACTAGATACGATCATAACTCAGGGACTGAGCCATCACTATCATTATAACTCAGGGACCAAACTCGCCATTTTCTCTTTAATTAATAAAGAGTATGAGAGAGAGAAATTACATGTCGGGCAAGAAGTTTGAATGATTAATTAAATAACATGTTAATATTCGTTGTTAAACATTGAGTGACAACAATTGAAATACATGACTAATTGTGGCAAAAATAATAATAATAATAATAAAGTCCAAGTCAAATCTTATATGGTGAGCTTAGGTCTTCTATTCAATTGCGAAGTATTGTCCTTATTCAAATAGGTAAAGTAACAACAAGCATGATGGGATAGACAATTAGACACACAAGATATAACTGGCGCCAAAATGATTAGAAACTTGACTTGTCACCTATTTGGGTACGGATAAATTGTAAGGTTTGAAAGTCGTGGATAAATTCTGATAGTGCCACTATAGTCGTGGACCAAAAGTGCAAAAAATTTTAATTCTCATACCGTGATTGTGTTTTGAATTTTGATCTCTCCTCTCAAATACTATCTATTAAATCAGTGAGCTGTGCAGACTTGTTTTGGTATTCATATCAGGCCCGGAGGGGGAGGCGGCGCTTGGTTTGTGAATGATAAAAGACATGCATTGAGCCTTTTTGACATTGTCGAATGCAAGGCAACGGATGTAAGCATTTGGGTATGTGTTTCTGCACTCTTCCATTTCTTTCAGAACCTGAGATGAATCTGTGCACCCA